CAAGCCACAAAAACTTTATGACGAGCGAGTATCAAGTACTGCTTGTGACACTCATAATATATTGCTCAAACAGTAGCTTCCGGAAAAATTAATAATTATCTCGATTTTATCCCTAAAGTGTTTTCTCTAACTCACTACTTTTCAAACGACTTCAAAAAGGGAGGAGGTTTTCTATTCCACTGTATTTTTAATGTGTGATAACTCAGAACCTTTTCTAGGTGAACCAATCTTGATGGTTCCTTTTTTATTTGAAAGCTGGTGCTTTACATGTGGCGTTATATAAATTTGAACAGATCTGACTAGTGGTTTTAGAGTTATCTTTAATAATGCGTATTTAACTGACTTCGACTACATTGATGATGTACCATTTTATTTATATTGAAGTTGGTTGTACATTTTTTTTATTTTACCACTTGTTTCTGTATGTCGCAAAAAAAACAAATAAAATATCGAACGTACAGTCTTTACAAGCTTGTGTTTGTGTAATGTATTAATGCATACCATAATATTATATTAATTAATACATACGAGTAGGTTGTTGTTGTCTAGAACAAGTAAATGAAATTGTATACTTGGGGAGTGCTTTCAGCCGGGATGGAAGATGTGATTTAGATGTGGATAGACGTGTCGCTGCCGGAAACAAAGACAATGGTGCCCTGAATGCATTAGTCAAAAGGCAAGGCGTGGTGAAGAGTGCACGCCTTGCAATACATAACGCAGTGTTGGTACCGACTTTGTTATATGGCAGCGAAACCTGGGTATGCCAGAAGAAGCATAAAAGCAAGTTGAATGCAGTGGAGATGCGATCTCTTCGTAAAATGTATGGCGTTACGATAGCCGATCGAAAGCGAAACGAAGAGATTCGCAATATGGCAGGATTGAAAGATGACCTTATCACAAAAATTGATAGGGGCGCACTCCAGTGGTTTGGGCACGTTGAGCGAATGAGTGAAGACCGAATGGTGAAGAAAATATATAGAGCGAAAGTAAATATTAAAATGTGTCGAGATAGACCGAGACTAACTTTCGAAGACCATGTGAGCAAATTGCTCGAAGAGGGGAAGGTCAAGAGTACTCGGATACCTAGACGTGCATGTATGAAGAAGTTAATGAACCTGAAAGAAGCGAAAGAGGTATGTAAGGATCGTGACACTTGGCGATCTGTTCTCTCTGACTACCCCGTTAGGGATTGTGCGTGAAGATAAGTAAGTAAGTATACGAGTAGGTTAAGAGCTATTTTTTTAATCACAAATTACTAAACCGGTTTTATCGTATGTAAAGTCATTCGATACTTTTTTGTATTCTCAATCACTCATTCGAAATCGAAACTGAAATGGAAATTCATTCTTAATTTTTAATTTATTACTATCTCGAAAAATACTGTTGTCCCCGGAAGAACTAGCAATTTTGTTTAAAATAACAAATAGACATTAAAAAACAATTTACAATCAAATAAAAAAATAGTAACCAATTTTGTAAGAATTAGCTTGGTAGCGACCAACTCACTCCCAGGGGTTATCATCACTTATAAATTCCTTCATTATAATAACGCTTTTTTTACAATGTTTTTGGCTGTGGGATACATTTTGTGTATGATTTGACGTAACAATCGTTTCCAAATTTCGCATGCAAATTATTTAGAAAATACCGAATTGCACTCTATTTGCATATAAATATGTATTAAAATTTAAACGATTTTTTAATGATGATTTTTGAACATTAATCAAAAGTCTAAAATATGTAAATTCGCGCAGTCCGTCAAAACAGAGAATCGGGTTCGTAGTAGTGATAATACGACGTAATTGCTTGTATGTGTGCTCCCGGCGACGCCGAATCTCGTACAAAATAAGTTTGACAGCCATTCTATTGTGTATTATAGTATTCTATGGGTATACCTATATGTATTAAAACATTGTGTAAAATCTTCATCGCTATCACAGCGATATTTAAACCTCAGAACTTCGAAACAAAAACAAATACGATCATTTATTGCATTAAAATATTATGTCTAATGTACGTAGTACTGCTAGGTATGAGCAAAAATAATAACACGAGGAATTTTTATACCTGTGTGTATTGTGTATTATTTTGTTTAGTGGGGGTAATCATTTGGCAGTCTGCTCTTTACTCTTTTTTATTTTGTATTAATTCAGGTATGAATTTACTGATGTACTTTTTTACTCACTCCTTTTTTAAATCAACACGGGACACCTGACAAACTGATATTGGATTTATCCATCCAGTTCCATTAGTAGTTCTACATAATAATATATTGTAGTCTACCTATTTAAAATTGTACAAATGAATTATGGATGATTGAATAATAAACAATTGTCAAGTAAAAAGGTAATTTTGTTATTATTATGTACTCAACAAAGAAGTCCGTAACATCGTTGATATAATATTATATACCTATGTAATGTGTAGCTCCAGTGCATAGTTATGATTACGGGTACAAGGCAATTTTAACCTTGAACGTTATTAACAAGGTGCAAATTTAATATTTGATATCGGTGAAAATATAATATCAATATTTTCTTATACATCGCTGTGAAACGCGATTTCAGTCAGCTATTATATCGATAAGGCAAAGTCCAAATACATTTATAAATGTGCCAACAAAATAATCTGATTTTATTTTACAAAAAGATTGCAATCAGTGTGCTTTTGTAAACTGTTCCGTTTATAAAGGAATTTTTTTTTAAATAAAATGTCCATAAACAATGAAAATGTATACGTGGTAGAGCTGTATTATGGTTGTAGAACGAATGGGATCTACCGGGGATGGGCCACGCTTCCACACAACACCAGCGTAAAATAGCAGCTTTATGCTGCTGTGTTTCGTATGGTGAGTATAGATAGAGCACCGAAGATTATTCCATTTTGGTCCTCAAGGATAACAACGTATTCAACATTTTGATTCTTAATCGAGAATATGTTTATGGGCCACAAGCTACATTTGGTACTAGGTGGACTGTGTACTCGTTTGTCACCCTTATCCTATAAAAAATACATAATAGAAATAAATATTGCCTGTAATTAATCCTGTCGTCTGCAGCCAACATTGGCGGCAACCAGGCGACACCGCGAAAAAATGCACCGCCTTTCATCGAATAGTATAGGACTAAGACACCACTAACAAAACTGGAAATTTTTATATATGTAAATTCATGTCTTTATCTTGCATTTGCTTGTTCAAAAACACGATTGTACAATTTGACTCGATGTTAATTATTTGCGACAACACCTCTAAAAATCACTATAGTTGAAATTACAACGAAATTACTTAATCTTACGCCAGTATATTCTAAGTCTATGCGTAATCTATATGCTTGGGAATCACTCAAGTATATTTATAACATCAATATTCGTTATCTACTTGCTCATTATTTTGGTTACTTAAATCAATAATTTTTTTAAAAATATTTTAAAATTCTGACAATTTCTAAGCGGTCTTAGTCGTCGCGGGCGCTACGCAATTTTAGACCTTAACACGGCGTTTTTTAATATTTTATAGAAATTATGTATTCACTCGGATCAATCTGGCGATAGCCTGGAGCCATTTTAAACGTTCATTTTCGATGTGTGGTCTTAAAGACCAAGATGGAATGTCTCGTCTCGTGTAATTATACTAGGTTTCTCTAGCCTTCAAAGCAGAACACACGACTGCAAGCACAGGTGGTACCTACCTAAACGGACTCATAGTCACAGAACCATTTCTACCACTTACTTACCCTTCCGTTAGGGTTACACGCACAATTTTTTTTTGTTTGCAAATTCTACCAAGGACAAGATATTCTTTAATAAGTTTCTTAATTTCATTCTCTTCTACTGTCACGCGTCACAGCTTTATTCCTAGAATGTTTGACTGAATTAAAAAAAAATCTAAAATCCCGTTTCGAAAAAAAATAATTTAAAGATAAAAATATGGCCAGTATCGTTTCAAAAGTATTTTAAAATAATAATGTTTAATAAAATCACTTTCAAAAACACCTTTATTCAGTGATAGTAAGTATATCAATTTTATGATGGTGTCAATTCTTGTGCTGTCTCTATTTAAGTCCAAGTGAATAGTGAGTTTGAGTTTTTGGCCATAAGCTTACTACTTCTAATTCAGCCGATCATAAGTCCTAGATATACCTGATATACTGATACTGATATCAGGTCGTCACTCCATCTAGTGGGCGGTCACCTAACACTGCCCTAGGCAGTACGAGGCTGCCACCTTTCTTCCCGAACAGTTGTTAGTTCTTCGAGCTATATGGCCAGCCGTCCGTACGTAAAGTCTGTAACGAGGATATCTGCAGAAGAGCAAAAACGACTAAGCTTAGTAGTAAGCGTAGTAGAAAATATCAAACTAAAGTAACCTGCGCTGTGTTCACTGAAAGAAATATGAGGTTGCTGTTATTGTTCGTAAGAAAGATTTTTTTCAACCTTGTTACCTCGGTACTTTTTTCTGGGTGAATCGATTTTAATGATACTTTTTTTTGAAAGCAGGTGCTTCTCGTGTCGTCCCATATAAATTTTTGTTTTTAGTTGATTAAAATCTGACCAATAGTTTTTGAGTTATCCTTAATAATGCGTATTTAATTGGCTTCGATTACATTGATCATGTTCTCTTTAATTTATATTCGGTTGTAAAACATTTTTAATTTTACCACTTTTGTGCTTAATATGTTATGATATTAAATGTGTAATTGTATCGACTGCAATTTTACAAAACACTTCAACAAGGCCACTACAGAAGCGTTGAATTTGACTGTTGAATGCCTCATAGCGCCTGCCTGTCCATATTGAAGTCGGTTGGTCGGTTGTACAAAACTTTTATTTTTACCACTTGTTTGTGTTTTATATAATAGCTGTGTTATTTAAATTATTAATTAATATACCTACAATCATAGACATTGATAGCACAAAGTTGATAAACGTCACAAATATTTTAGATAGGTACTTAATTAAAGTTTTTTTTTTATCTAAAGTACTTAACCGTTCTGTTGCAGGAACTATTAACTCGAAACCGAAACCGGTTAATCTTGCTGACGTAAGTACCTAGTATCAAATAAGTATTTTTAAGTTAACGAATGGTGGCTAGAGACCTTGCTCTGTGGTATTTTTTGAGGCACCTATGGATTTATAAAGAGCTTTAATAAAAGAATGAATCAAATAATTTTACTATGCGCCAAAAATAATTTTAATTTTCACACAGACAGGGATAATATATATATATATATATATATTAATTATATATATTTTTTTTTTTTTTTTTTTTTTTTTTTTTTTTTTTTTTTTTTTTTTTTTTTTTTATATTATTTCTGTGAATTAAATTGATAATATGATGATGATGATAATAAAAGATAAATCGAAACTATTATTCAATATAGATTGTAAATAATACTTATTGACAGTCACTCTTATGCTTAATATACTACTGATTCAATACAAGTTATTAAGTTAAGATGATTGTAAAGTGCCAATAATGCAGCGCGAGTAAGTATTTCCAAAAATGTTATCTGTTTCTTACCGCTTCCTGTGCCTTCCATATCGTGCGATAGAGAGAGTCCCGAGTCTTGGAGGCAATTGACTACTTTTTCTTTTTGAAATACTGTTTTGGGCGATAACGTTTTCATCCCCCAAAACTTTACGAAATGAAACAGTTTTAGTCTCATTACATCCAGTACACCTTAATCTAGCTCTGTATTGTTTTCTTTATTTATTCAGTTTAGTTTAATTAAAAAAATAAAAACGCCCGAGGAAGTTTTTAAGTCAAACTATAGATATTTAGATGCTAATAACTTATATATGCGTAATATTTCCTTAAAATAGAAACATACGAAGCTAGTTTCCAAAAATTATGAAAATCGGACTATGTTTACGAGGAAAAAAACTTTATCGCTTTTTGTATGAAAATTTACAGCTTCACAATCCTCTTAACATTACATTAACTATCTAGTTTTTACAGTAGTTTTGATGATTTTTTTCACTTATGAGCGCACAATATTAAATTTAAAGATAATTTTGTTTGGTATCCACCACAACGGTTTTTCGTATAATGTTATATTAAATAAATACAAAATGTTAACTTTAAAGCTCAGACGACAACAATTAGTAGCAATGTTATTATTTGACCTTTGTCATGATAAATATGATTGCATTCCTGTAACAAAAAATTGCGATATCGTGTACCTACTAGGTCACATGTAAGATCAACATGCTCACGTCAAACATTTGCCCTTCCCTTGTGTAGAACCAATGCTGGCAAAAGAGCGCCATTGTATCTCTTAATGCAAAATTATAATGATCACTTTTGGGACATTGACTTTTTTAATAGCCGTCCTTTAGAAGCAAAGTGATTAATAAGCTTATGAGTCTCATTAACTAAAAACTAAATAAATAATTAAAATATATCAAAACATAATTTAAATTAAATAATTGTTTGAACTCAAAACTAAAATGTGAACAGTTTTTTTTCTTTAGTTGTTTGTACTAGATTATAGTGTTTTTAAATAGTTCAATGTTGCTGATCTGTTTAAGTAATTCCAACTAATGTCATTTTGTAATATTGCATATTATGTAGTAAGTCCTCCTTCACATCTCTCACTTTTGTAATTTATCCTATAAATTATTATCTGAGGCTGGTGGTGTTGGCTTCACTAAATTCAAATTTTAGGATTAAGATTAGTTATTAAGCCTCTGTTGAAGTTGTTTACTGGTCCTTAAATAAATTTAAAAAAAAACGGCCCATTAATAGCCCACATCTCTAAACAGGTCGCTGCCACAATAAGAAGGCTTACACGCTTTGCAAGCAGATTTGTGTTTACAGCTATGACTTGCACCTTTGAGAGTACTTCTCATCGCTCCTAGTAGTATTTTATAGGTAACTAGCGATCAGCCCCGGCTTCGCACGGGTGGTTTCTCGATTCTATAACTATGCCTATAACCTTCGTGGAAGTGCAAGCAAGATGTTGACAAAGTTTTACCGCAATTTGATAAACGGTATGGCAGCGCATAAAATACAAACAAACAAAGACTAATTTTTATACAAGGTGTAAGTGTAAAAATCGTTGTCACTAAAACCATAGAAATTGGCTTTAATATAAATATATTTTACCGAATTTAAAAAAAAAACGCTATTTTATTTCATAAAATTTAAAAAGTTTCTGTCCGACACCGTCCGTAAATTCATGGATACCCTATGCGCCCGAGTGACGTAATCACTGTGAAGATCACCGCTTGCGCTAGCTACCTACACAACATTCCAATAAAAACAACAATAGGTACACAATACACATAACCTGTGATGTAACTTTTCCTTCATACTTTCATCCTGGCTTAGGACAGGCAAAAATTGAGGAATTAAGGAAAAATTGAGATTTTACTGAAAAAAAATTGTTATTTTTCATTGAATTTACGTTCTATAAATGAAACCAAACCACTGGTTTCAAGGATAACGGTGTTTACACAACAACCTGTATATTAGATATCATCTTCATAATTACAGCCCTTCACAAATCCACTGCTGAACATAGGCCTCCCCCAAGTAACGTCACAAAGCAGGGTCCTGAGCCACCTGCATCCATCGACTTCCTGCATGTCTTACCAGGTCATCACTCCATCTAGTGGGGGGTCGCCCTACACTACGCCTACCGGTACGAGGCTGCCACTCGAGAACCTTTATTCCCCATCGGTTATCGGTTCTTCGAGCTATATAGCCGGCTCATTGCCACTTCAGCTTACTAATCTGTTGGTCTATGTCGGTCACTCTGGTTTTACTGCGGATATCCTCATTTCTGAGTCTATCGCGCAGAGAAACTCCGAGCATAGCCCTCTCCATAGCTTGAGACCTTGAGCGTCTTCATACGGCCAGCAGTGAAGGACCACGTCTGAGATCCGTAAGTCATCACTGGCAACACGCACTGGTTATACACTTTAGTTTTCAGAGATTGCGGTATACCTGACGAGAAGATGTGTCGTAATTTCACGAACGCTGCCCAGCCGAGTTGAATCCGTCGATTAACCTCTCGGTCGAAGTTGGACTTACCTAGTCGGACTATTTGTCCCAGTTAAACGTACTCGTCAACAACTTCGAGCATAGTGCTCCCAACAACTATCGGCATAGGTGTGACATGGAGATTAAACATGATCTTTGTTTTGTCCATGTTCATCTTAAGACCTATCCGTTGGGAGACACCATTGAGGTCATTGAGCATAGTGCTAAGGTCCTCCAGCGATTCTGCCATAAGGACTATATCGTTGGCAAATCTAAGGTGAGTGATGTACTCGCCATTGATGTTAATACCGTATCCTTTCCAGTCCAGTAGTTTGAAAACGTCTTTCAACGCAGCGGTGAAGAGTTTCGGGGATATAACATCACCCCGTCTTACAACTCTCTGCAGTTGGATAGGTTTCGAACTCTGGTTCTGTACTCGGATAGCCATCGTAGCCCTACTGTACAAACACTTCAGCACTTCGATATACCGACAGTCAGTTTGGCACCGCTGAAGGGACTGTAGCACCGCCCAAATTTCGACGGAATCAAAGGCTTTCTCATAGTCCACATATGCCAGGCAAAGTGGCAGTTTGTACTCTTCGGTCTTCTGTACATTCTGCCGCAGGGTATGTATGTGGTCTATGGTACTGAAGCCTTTTCGGAAACCGGCTTGTTCGGGAGGCTGGAAGTCGTCGAGTCTGCGTGCGAGACGATTCGTAATGACTCTCGAAAATAGCATGTAGACGCGGCTCAGAAGGGAAATCGGTCTGTAGTTCTTCAAGAGAGCGTTGTAGCCTTTCTTAAGGAACAAGACCACCGCGCTTCTGCTCCACGCCTCCGGAGTAGTGCCACCATGGAGGACGGAATTGAAGAGCTTCTGAAGGACTTTAAGTACCGGTGTTCAACCCGCTTTCAGAAACTCCGCTGTAATTCCATCCTCGCCCGGGGCCTTGCCGTTTTTAAGGTGGTGGAGAGCCATTCTAATCTTGCTCAGACTGACGTCCGGGATATCATCGGAATAGTGTCGGATAAGACTTGCTCTTGGATCGTTACTCACACTTGCGTGTGGCTCCAACGATGATGTGTACAGGTGCCCATAGAACCTCTCAATCTCACTCAGAATTTCACGTGTCCCGGAAACGATGTTGCTACACTCAGTCTTCAGCTTTGACAGTTGGCTCTTTCTGGCAGACATATCTCTGGCAAAGACTTTGGAGCCCTGGTTCCGCTCGATCGCTTCTTTAATACGAGCAGTATTAAAGTTGCGTAAATCTCGCCGCATGCATTTGGAGATCTGTCTGTTCAGTTGCCTGTATGCTATCAAATCTGTCAAGTCAAATCGGGATTCTGGATCAGAGCACGAGGGGGACGGAGCGTTGACTTCATTAGACGAGACCTCTCCAACTTAACGTTTAGGTTCAGTGTGCCTCTAACCATTCGGTGATCGCTGCCGGTAGCAGTGAGCAGTATTAAAGTTGCGTAAGTCTCGCCGCATGCATTTGGAGATCTGTCTGTTCAGTTGCTTGTATGCTGTCAAATCTGTTGACGATTGCAGCCTCATCTCCCGTCTAACAGCCATGAGATTAAGAGTGTGATCGGAGAGTTTTTGTGTTCTTCTGCGGCGGGTCTTGCAGAACTTAGCTCCGACCGCATGGACAGTTTCCACGAACTTGTCATTCATATCGTCCACTGCATTGCAATCTTCTAGGCACTGAAAGCTGTTACGTAACTCGAGCTGAAAAGTTTCGGGACTCTGAATTAGAGCACGAGGGGGACGGAGCGTTGACTTCATTAGACCTCTCTAACTTAACGTTTAGGTTCAGTGTGCCTCTTCTCAACCATTCGGTGATCGCTGCCAGTTTTCACACTTGCGATCACTAAGACATCACTGAACAGGTGGCGTCTGGTCGTCATAATGAAGTCAATCTCATTTTTTGTCGAGCCGTCGGGGCTCAACCAGGTCCACTTCCTGTGGGGCCGCTTCTGGAAGAAAGAGTTCATCATAAAGAGTCCCTCTTTCTCCATAAAGTCGGCCAGCTGCTGGCCCCTTCGGT